ACAGTATTTTTGCTATATATAACTATGGGGGGAAAAAACCCAGACTGTGAAATTCACAGACTGAAAGATCATTTCTAAGTAACACTTACACTAACTACCATAAAACCAGCTCAGACGAGTCCACACAGTGCTCACATTTCTATCCTTCACTTCCTGCCGCTGCAACATTCAAAATTTCATACCAAACACAAACCTACTGTCCTTTTTCTTCCAATACTTCATCATTACAGCTCCAAGAATCACTAGCCTTACTACTGCTTACAAACAGGAGCATGCAACTTATTTCTCCAAACCATACATAAGCCAAAGATACAAAACTTTCACCTCAGACACAGCATTCTTCATGCAAGTGATATTTCCCAGGACTAACAGCAAGAAATGGTAAAACAGCTCCCAGTCACATCTCCAAAATATATCTCTACATAACATCACTTACAAAACTTCTTGCTACCAGCTCAGCAGCACTGTGTACCCACTGCTTCTTGAAAACCTGTGTAGTTCAGTGCTATTAATTCTAAATTACCTACCTGCTACAGTTCAAGCCTTCTAACATCTGACAAAGACTCCATGACACTCAGAAAATCTCACAGTTTGTATTCATTTGGAAATAGGATGCGGCCACAGTCACCAAACTTTGTAGTCATGAAACGGACTCTCTCAGAGTAGTAAAATTACATTTAAGGAGAAAAAGATTGAAATCTATCATTTCTTATCTGGCTTTCCTGTAATAAGGCTGTAATTTGGTATTATGGAGGACTCTGAGAAAAGACTGGATAAATAACCAGTCCATTTCTAATTTACAACAATGACTGAATTTGCATATAAAATTATGGAGGAATATTTGGGTATTCCATTATAGCCCCATTAAGTATCCTTTAACTTCAACTGGCAGTGCAATAGAAATGCAACAGAAAAACAGATTGGGTAATTACAATCTCCCTGCTTCAATTCCCAATCCCTTCTTTTTCTACAGTAATATTCACTTTTCTGTGTTTCTCAGACATGAGGGATTGTTTCTGTTGGAAGCCCCATGTTGTAAACATTTGTGTGAACAAAAAAGCTCAGTAAGCAAGACTGTTTTGGAATAAGGAACCTGAGTCACATATCAGTGTCACCATAATGCAATCCCCAGAAGCTGACCTGTTCCTGTGGAGCAGCCTCTGACCTTGCAGACTCCAAATTTCCTTGTCTATGAAGTTTAGTTATTTTCTCCCACCCCAAAACATCTGGGGAAAACAAATGTTTATTTTCCCAATCAGTATCTGCAGAAGACCAAGAGAAGACCAAGCATTCCTTCCGATTTCTTTTTCATTTCATACCAATGGTGTGTGGATACTTTTGAAAAACCAGCCTCTTTTACAACATTCTCTCTTCCTTGTTGAAAAAGAATGGCAACCACAGAAGTTTGCACTAAAGGGAGGAAGAAATACAACACATAAAGTACCATGTCCTTAAATATATGTCATTGATACATATAAACACAAGTGCTGCCTTGCTGCCAAAGGCCACGGAAGAGACAGCAAGACAAACAAGAATGAAAAAGGAAGGTTTTGTTTGTTCTGAAAATCTAACTCACAATCCTTCCATTTATGGTGGAAAAATAGATGTACCTTATAGTGAAAATGAGATTTTGCCACAGCATCTCAGCAAAAGAAGTGAGAAAGAATTCAACAGCTGCAATACGAGCAGGAGAGGGTTGGGATTACAAAATTTGGAATTTTCCCCGCCATGATGAACCACTGGCAGCGTTGCACAGAAAGGAACACTGGGGATCTGCTTCCTTCCAGGAAGAAAGCTTCAGCAATGCCAGGAGAAACGTCAGGACAGGACTGAGGCTCGCTGGGATTCTTGGCCTGCTGAGCCCCCAGGCAGGGGAATTCCAGCTGTCCAAGCACTCCATCCCTGAGCTGGAGCAGTGGCACACCACCCTCCCTTCTCCTGCTCCAAGCCAGCTCCCACAGCTTTCCCCAGTTACTCAGGTTGTACACAGGGGATGGATTTAAATTAATACCAAAGACTTTTTTAATTTAGATTTCACTCCTGCTACCAGACCTGTGAGGTCCCACTGACCTCAGGAGGGGGACGCCAGTGAGGTGAGAGATTCAAGGGCTTTAATAACCTGAATTGCTCCAGCAATTGTTTCTGCCACTACTAAAATGAAAACACCAAGAATAATGTTCAGTAGCAAATATAAGATGGTAGTAAATAACAAATAAAAATAAAAACATACCAATACACTGAAAGTCAGAAAGGATATGCAGCTACAAATGCAAAGGGGATTTTACTAAAAAAAATAATTACCAACAATGGAGAAAATATTTCATCAGCCTATGAAATTAACAGAGTTGGAAAACAGCATTAATATTATTGCCCAGCTCCTACACAGGCTCTTTCATCCACAGGCATCAGGACTCCTCACAAGTCAGTAAGATTCACTATCCCTATTTTAAATTCCTCCAAAAGGAGGCACAAACAGGTGAACTGATTGCATCAGGCTCTCCACATCCCTCAAGCACTAGACCTGTACCTTACCCACCCAGGAATATCCCCTCTTCAAGCTTTCCAGACACTGTGACTTACATCTTTGGAGATGAGAATTTCTCTACAAATCCAGGTTTTGAGCAGAAGTTCTGTCCAAACCACAGCCCTTCTTCTACAGCCAGATCTATTCACACTGATCCCAAAGCCCAGGAGGAACTTCTCTGAAACCAGTGAGATTTTACAAAAGAAAAGGATCCTCCATGACACATCAAGAAGCAGAACTGGGACAAATTAGAGAATAAGATGCTGCTTCCACATTTCCCTTTAAGTTTTAATCTGATAGGAAGAGGTAAAAATAAGCCCCCAAACAAGCAAACAAAAAAATCCCAAAATAGACAAAAAAACCCCAACAAAATCCGCTATTACAACCTTTCAAGTCTTTAAGCCATGACTTAAACAAGCCTCTACCACAGAAAAATTCATCTGGCTCACCTAAAAAGGCACAGTGCCTGTATGAATTAAAAGAGGGAAAATACACACTATACAATTCTTAAGTCCAAAAAAATCACAGAGGTGAAGAGTGATAAAGGAAATGTCATTTCAACTAGGAAAAATAAAGAAGTAATTTCTGCTTTCAGAACAAATTACAAAGAGAACTCAATTTATCAGTAATAACACATAAAATGTTCCTTCACTTACCAATAAAGAAAAACTGCTCTGCTAATTAAAGTTCAACAAAAAAAAAAAGCTTAACTCAGCTTCTGCCACTTACAGTTTCAGTGCTGTAAAAGCCAAACCTACCAAAGTCTGATTTACTGGGTTTGTACCACAAGGAGGTGGAGGGAATGTGGTGGCCCCTTGTAAACTTTCCCCTCTTCAAAGTTTGAACTGAATGTTCAAAATCAGCTCCTCCCTACAGACCTGCCCAGCACTCCCAGTTTGTCCCCATCACAAAAGCTTTGCCATTTAAAAGAAAACAAAAAAAAACCAAAACAAAACAAAAAAAAAGAGTTTTCATTTACTATCTGCTATGGTTCAAAAGTACTGAATCAAACCAATTTAACATACATTATTTAAAGTCACCCTGATCTACCTATCAGCCTTAGAAAATAATGCAAACTTGCCAAGTATCACTATCATATTTTTTTATTTTCTATAAAGGAACATGCCTTTTCTCATATAAAGAATGACAGGTGGTGTATTTTATCCTTTGCCTTGCTTCAATTACACTAATTATTAAGAACAACATCATCAGATGATGTCAACAATCCAAACCATCCCAACAGGACCAGCCATGGTGATACACTTAATCTGTCAATGGGGATATCCATTTTCAGCATATTTTTCTGTCTCACAACTGAATTATTTTGTTTTTACAATGAAAATTGAAATGTGTTATTTTAAAACTTCCTCTCAAGCTCGCTTGACCTTTAATAATGCAAAAATTCTATTACCTTGTTAACTCTTACTCATTTTGTCATTAACTGGGAAGCAGCCCTGCAACTGTTTCTCAGCAGTTATTTCTTAATTTCCATCAGTGATATGTTTAATCATGTTACCCTAATCGAACAACAATTGCCTAACAAAGAGCTGAAGCCAAAACAACTGCACTCCCTTTAACAACAGGACAAGTACCACCGCAGGAAGGGTAACACAGATCCTTCTCCTGACTGGAGATGTGCCCTAAAAATACATATATAAGTGTCTGCTGGAAGGGCTGTGCTGCAATGTGCAGTAGAAACTCTCCTGTTTTCAGTTTCAGAGCTGATCCACAGTACAAAAGCTTCTCTCAAGACCTGTGTTAAACCTCCCAACTTCACTTCACTCTCCCTGCCAAAGCCTCCTGCAGAAAACAAAAACATAAGCTCATCTGCCCACCCTTCAACCGCTCCGAGGGGGTAATTTTACAACAGCTGTTAAATTCTTCCCATTTATTTTTCCATTGCTCCACAAACCCTACCTACCCCATTTTTTTTTTTTTTTTCCCACGTCTATTTCACCATTGTTATTTTCTGGCCGTCTCTCCCATCCCCTCCCGCCCCGCCCGGTACAAAAACAAAGCTGCCTCCCGCCCCCCTGCATCCCCCCCGGAGCACCCCCGGCTCGCGCGAAGCATCCCCGGCCCTGCGGCCCGGCCCCCGGGCCCGGCCGGGCGCGGGGCCGCTCCGGCCGCCCGCGGCCCCGGGGAGCGCGGCGGCGCCGGGGTCCGGCCGAGCGCCCCGCAAACAGCCCGCGAGCGGCGGCCGCCGCAGGCCCTCCGCGGACACAGGGCCCGCTCCCGCCGGCACCGCGCGGCCCCCGCGGCCCGCTCCGCCCGGCCCGCCGGCCGCGGCGCCCCGCGGCTCCCCCGAGGGCGCGGCGGGGCCGCGGGCGGCCGGAGCGGGCCGCGCTCGGTGCCCGCGGGGGCGGTCGGGGAAGTCCCGACTTACCTGTCATTACTTTCTACGCCATCTTGGATCCACTTGTCAACGTCCCACAAAGCATTGTGGGAAAGGCCGGCCCTCCCCGCGGCCCGGAAGGCGGAGGGCGGCGGTGCGAGGGGACGGGACGGGAGCGCGGGGACTGGGGCAGCAATGGGGCCCGGGTGGGGACCCGGACGGAACGGCGATGGGGACAGGGTCGCGGTCCGGCACAGGGGATGAGGATGAGGACCGGGGCCCGGGTGGGGACCCGGACGGAACGGCGATGGGGACAGGGTCGCGGTCCGGCACAGGGGATGAGGATGAGGACCGGGACCCGCTGTCCCCTCAGCCCGGCGGCCGCTGAAGCGCAGCCCGGGGTCCCCTCACGGAACAGCATTCGGGGCCACCTCCGCTCCGCCCACGCTAGAAACCGGCGATTTCGGGGGGTTTTCCGTGTTTACTTCATTTTTTCTCTCTGTTCTTCCCCTTCCCTTCCCTGGGCTCGGAGCGCAGCCGCGGAGCCCGAGGGTCGCTGGCGGGGCCGGTACCGGCAGCCGGGGGGGCCGGCCAGAGCCCAGCACGGAGCCCACCCGTGAAAAAAGCCTGGAAAGTACTTCTTCTCATGGTTTTTCTACTGCGTAAGTTGGATTTTTTTTTTTTTTTTTTTTTTTTTTTTTTGGTTTGGGTTTTTTTTTTTTTTTTTTTTTTTTTTTTTTTTTTTTGGCCTGTTTGGTTTGGGGTTTTTTATTATTATTTTCCTGTGGGTTTTTAAAGTTCCTTCCGTCAAAGAAACGTGAGGAGGCCGGTGCGGGTGCCGCGGCTGCCGCAGGTGCTGGAGCAGCTCCCGCTGTCGCCGTGTTTTCCAAACCCATCAGCCCTGCTGAAGGACTGCTGGTAAACGCGTTGCTGGCTGCTCATGAATCCCAGAAATTGCTTTGCATAACAGTTTTATTTTCATGGAGTAATCTTCCCTGTTAGCTGTGTTTTCAGACTCTTTGGCAATCAGTACTTAATACCTACGCTGTTTTGCAAACTGGCTTTTTCAAGGCGTTACCGACTTAGCTGCTGTGAATGGGTGCCCTGTACTCTGCATAGGCTGTTGTGCTTTAGGGCAAAGTGGACAAGAAATTGGGGAAAAGCAGCTCATTTCAGGATCTTAGGAAAATTTATCACCAATACAGTATTTCAGTGGTTTTTAAAAACTTTTCCTTCCCCTTTAATTGCAAAAATATCCAGATCATTTTAGTATTGGATCTTGCTGTAAAATGTATTTACATTTATATTTAAATTTACATCTAAAGCCTCGTAACTCTTTGAAGAATAACCACCAGCCAAGCCTCTGATGCATTGCCACTGCAAGAAAATACTTGTGCCCAAGAAGGTTTTCAATATTCATCAGTAATGCATTTATAAAGAGAGAGCTCCTTGCAACAATGTAAATATAGGAGGAAATAAATCTAAATAAATCCTTTGCATTTGCCACCCAGTCTTAAAACAGTCTACTTTTTAATTCAGCTTCATAACTAGCTGGGAGTGCAGTTGTGCTGTCACTGAGGAGAGTGTGGGTGGTCCCAGCCTCAACCCAGGAGATGCCATTTCAGGATAAAACCCTCCTGTGGAACTTGCCATAGGCCATAGCTGTCCCTGCTGCCAGCCTGACACCTTTCCTAGTGTTGGGACTTGTACTTTCTGCAAGCACTGTGCAAGGAACAGGGACCAAAGAAAGCTGAAACCATGTTTAGGATCCAACTCACTTTGTGTCATTCAGTCCAGGTTGTGGAAATGGAGTAAGTCCTTTTACTTTTGAGGCCAGTTGTCTTTGGTTCCTAGTGAGCTTTATCTTACTGGTCTTTTTTCTCTGTTAGAAAACTTTTCTTCAAAATAAATAATTAGAAAAAGCAGTGGAAGATAGAATTATCAATGTATGCATATTTTTAGATATAAACATATCCTCTGAAGTTCAATTTGGAGAAGACAGAAATTTAGTTTGGTTTATTTTTCACATAAGCTTTTTTTAAGTACATTCATTCTGACAGTATTTTTTTAATAACGTGCTAAGAAAAAAAAATTGTGTGGCAGTGACTGAGTTATTGGAGGATCTGTTCAGTGACAGACCCCATTCTTATCACTCTCTGTCTCTGATGATTTAAAGTTCCAGATTGGATATACTAAGAGGCACAGGCTGCTGTGAAAAGGTGGCAACTGCCCTGTAGGAACAGTCCAGAAAGGATCTGGGGAGGACCATGGGTACCCAATGGGTAAAACACAACATGGAGACATGCCCTTGCACCCACTGCTTTTAATGATCTTCTTACTTTAACCCCTTCAGCCTCCATATGAAGGAGGTTCTAGTCTATTTTGTGGGCTGGTCAAGTGTATTGCATGAACCTTCAGTGGAGGTGCCAGAGGCTGGACAAGGAGCCAGCAGCTCTGGGATGGGGGTGGCTGCCAAGCACTGCCCTGTTCAAGCAGAGCCTGCAAGCTTGGAACAACTCCCCTGTTTCCATGAGCTGTCCCCTCCAAGCTCTTTCAAGGTCCTTGTTACCAGATAGAAAGATGAAGACTTTCAAAATTTGGTCCAAAACAAATGGGGCTCCAAGGGCTCATTAACTATGGAAATTCTGCTCAAGGTGAGAAACATATCAATTTGCTTAAGGGATGAAATCCTAAATCCAAACAGCCTAAAAAAAATGAACTTGACTTTAGAGCCACTTCTGTGGTAACATCCTAGGAGGCAGAGAATGGCCCAGGAACTGGTTACAGATTACCTGGGAAGAAAGACTTCTTGTAGCTTTCACTGATATGGTTCAACACATTATTAAAGGATAATTTAACAATAAGATTATTGTTATTATCTCTTATTGTAAGGTTATTATATTCCTACTGCTATGAGAGGAACTCAGTATCTATCTATACGAGACATCTCTTTCTCTTTCCTTGATGTGCATTACTGCAGTGGAAGCTGCAATTTTGCCTTCCAGCCTCTGCTCTCCAACACATCATTGACAACCCCACAGGATGAGCTGACAGCCAGGCTGGGACTGAGCACTGGGCAGGGCACAGAACCAGATGTGTTACATGTTGACTACTGCCTTGCATTTCCAGCATTGTCCAGACTTCCTACATTCCTGGATCCAGTGGGATTTCATGGCAAGAGGAGAGCTTGCAGTGCTAGACTTCTGCCCAAAGAGACTGGGAGCAGGGGGTGACATGGAGTCTGGGGGGAGAAAAGCAACAGTGGATGTTGGAAATGTAAAAAATACCAAAGGCATAATGGGGAAGCACAAGACAGTGACAAAGACAAGGAATTCCCACTAAGCATCATGAGACTTGACAGGATTCAGATCCTCAAAAGCCTAACAGTGATATTTCTAGGGACTCATTATAATGATAAAATTTTCAGAAACCCTCCAATGAATGCAGCAATATCAAATTCAATTCCACTTGTACATTTTTTAGGATTTTGAAATATTTCAAATCTGAAAATAGCAATTTCTCACTGGATGTTTAGAAAGCCCACCCTGCCAAGGAAGCCCTAACACATCGTGTCTCCCTACCCTTCAGTCAGGATTCTGTAAAGGATGCTGGCTCACAGGGTCCCCCCTATTCTATGAAGCTAGGAGCCATGCCCTGGTCCTTGAAGAATCCAAGCTCCTTGCCAAAAAACGGATTTGAAAACCTGGTGCCACTCAGGGCTGCTAGGCTCCCTGCCATGAAGCAGAGATCTGAGCAGGGCGCTGAAAGGTGTGGCACAGATTCTGGCAGAGTTGGGAACTCAAACCCTCACTTGCTGCAGGCCTAATGGAGACTTGGTAGCCAAAAAGCCCTGAAGCTCTGGCTCGCCCATGAGCTGCACGCTTGGAATCACAACTGCAGCTTGGTTTCTACATTTTCAAAACAAAACTATTCTAATTATTTGAAACTTATACTGCTACTTTTTTCTTTCTCTTCTGCTTTCACAGGAAATTCAGAAGATCAATTTCCATTCTATGCTCAAGTTCACTCCCATTTCTGGGAACTGGTATTTCATGAATACAGAAATCTCAATTTGCAATCAGCTCCACTCATAACATCTAGTCAGAATACAGGAAAAACCATTACAATTAACATGTAAGAGTAATAAGGACATAATAGAATACATTCAGCAGGGAATTGCCTCCCTGACCCTGCAGCCCAACATCCCAGCAGGCTTCTCAAACAGTTCGTTCACCCCTGAGCAACAAAACAACAGGAGGCCTTTCTCAATGGAAGTGCCAGACAGATTGCAGCAACAGGAGCAATGTTTTTATTGTCTTAGCACACTGGACCTTTATAAATTTTTGAACTCCCTCAGAAGCAGCAATCATGGGAAAGTAGCAGAAGTGAAGTGGTTTAGCCTCTGCCACAAACAAGGCAGTGGTAGACCTGGGATTAGATAGCAACAGTTCTTAAGTCTTGGTAAACAATAAAGCAAACTCTTTCTAAGCAGCCATTAATGTCTGGTTATTAGGCTGAAGAGTAGCAAATTTTGATTTTCAAGTAGCAAGCATGAAAATTCCCCTGGAATTCCTCCAGAGTCCTCTAATGAACAATGATCTCAACTTTAATCTTACTTCATAATTATCCATGGGTAACATTTCAACGTGGACTCCTTAAGCACATGTAATTTCCAGAGCAAGTAATATTCAAACTAATTCATTTCTCCTTTGATCCACAAAATGAGAGCATTGAGAAGTAACCAGCAACAAGGGGATATTGAGGGTACACAGACAGAAACTACAAAGGTCAGCGTAATGTGATGGTTTGATCCCACACTGTCAAGATCAAAGATCTTCAGTCTCTGTTCATTTTTTTAAGAAGCTGGCATGACCTTTGAATTGCTCATGGAGGACTTATATCTGACATGTATCTGCATTCTTGAGAGGAACTAGAACCAAAAATTTAGAGCTTTTTTCCTAGCAACCTGAATGTGACAACCTTTTTGAGGTAAGCCTCAAGAGACACTTCCATTTTCATCAATAGTATGTTCCACTCACTTGGAGTTACCCTATAGCTTAATAATTCTAGAGTTTTGTTTTAAAACTTCTATTTTAACTTTGTGATGTATAGGGAGGGAAACCCTGAGGGATTCTTGCTTCTGGCAACAAGTACTCAGAACACAGCAGAAGTCTCACTCTGAGGACAGGGAGGCAGTCTGCCTTGGGCACTATGTTCCAAACCAAGACTAAGGTGTTACAACTGTGAACAAAAATCTCTGAATTTCAGATTCAAAGGCAGAGCGCTTGATCATTGTGGATCTTAGGCACAAATACAGACCATGAAAGTGAACTTTCATAATCCTTCTGTGCTGACTTTTAATGAGATACCTGAGCTGTTGAAAGATGAGAGTTCTCCTATGTTCTTTCTAATAGTGACAGAAAAAGGTGGTTGTGAGGGGAGAGAAACTTCCTCTCTCCAACAAACTCATGCTCTAAATGTAGCCAAAGGTAGCAGGGAGGGATAAAGCCTGGACAGAGAGGGAGGAGAATCTGCAAGAAATCCAGAAAGAAGAGCCAGGGAACCACTGAAACATTCCACTCTAGGATAAAAAGGAAAAGAGGGCTGGCTGGGAAAACCAGACTAATGTATCTGGTAGAAGCATCAGAGGCTTAAATGCTTGGGGTTGATGATTCCAGACCAGACTTCAACTGGAAGGAAAATGTTTATGACAAGAACAGGGAGAGGCAAGTTCCTACTTCCCCTGATGACCCATTGTTCCCCTCTCTGATAGCTCTTGCCTCAGATTCCAGATGATACATTATTTTCTAAGCTATTTTGTCCATTGTTCTGACAGCAGCCAGTTTTGTTCATGCTGCTGAAACCTCCCAATGGCCAAAACATCCCATGCTCAGAAATAGTGATAAAATTTTAAACAACTTGTACAACTGGGATTAGAATACAGTTTAGGAAGTTAGATGGTAAATATTCTGTGCATTCTGAATACTGCTCCTCTTCCTTCCCTTACTGGTAATTCAGCTGCCTTTTTGTTGTTCAAATGCAGTGAGCTGGATTGGTAAAGCTTTTAAAGTTCTGAGCCTTCCAAAATACATTCCCAAACTTCCCATTAGCTATGTCCAAAGTCAGCATTTCAAATGCAAATCACTGCTTACAAGCTTCCATCTTTTCCTGTCCTTTCAGACTTCCCTCACTCAAAATCCCTGTTTGGAATTTCCCAATTTCTGTGTATTCACATGAAAAGAGCATTAGTCTGAATGAAGCTCAGTGTGCTTGTAAAGAGATGGGATTTATCTATGTCTCAGTATATCATTTACAATGGTAGTCTTTACTTAATTAATTATGAACTGAATGGTTAGGGCTAGCATTAAAAATCATTCTAAACCAGAGCAAATTCGATAGAAGTTCCATTGATTCCTACTACACTATTTGTTCTACTATTTTACTTCCTTATAAAAACAGACCGGGGGTAAAGTCCACAGCTCCCCTCCATTACAAGGAGGTTAAAGTAAA